TAATGACAATGCACAAACTTCGTGAACTTATTTGTTGTTGTTGTTGTTCTTGGTAATAGTTTAATGGCGTTCGTTCAGTATTGGATATAAACGCCATATCTTAAGTTTTATAAGACAAAATTAGTAATCCGTAAAGAAAACTGAAAATAAAAATTGTAATGATATAATTAAATAACCAGTATCGCAATTTATTAGGAGCCTCTAGATGGTTTACAACTTCGTAATTCCTGCTTTTTTAATGTATAATCTCGTCAGCCCGGTTTCGATTGCATATACATTTAGCTTTGCTCATTTTGAAACAGGCTTCTCGGCTACTCGGCGTGCGTGAACTTATTTCAAAGTGTCAAAGTTTATGGCCAGTACCTATAGGTGTATGAGCACAGTTTTGATCAGCGGACTGACGTCTCTTAATTGCCCGAATATCATCTTTGCGACAGAATGTGATGGAAATCTCATGAAATTAAGAAGAAGAAAAAAATAATCATAATTCATGGCAAAATTATAGTAGCTTCGGGTTTAAGACTTTTAAGATATGGACATTTTCTGCGAAGTGTTTTAGACAGGAGACGCTTCAATTTCTAAAATTTCTAAAGCCCTTTTGAAACACTTTCATATCTGTAAAAATGAAATTGTAAAAAATCTAGTAAAATGATCTGATATGAATTGGCCATTTTTTAACCCAGGGTGGCCACATCACTAACGCTGCTCCTCCTACCAGCCCTGCAATTACAGTTGCTCCAACTTTACCAGGTACCCATTTACACCCGCGCCTGCCTTCCCCCCCCCCCCCCCCCCCCGCCTTCCTTATAATTTTCGGGATAAAGAGGTTTTCGGATATTTTGTAGAATTATAATTAATCTTGCGTAAGGGGCGACTATCCTAGCTCGTAAGCGGCCAAGGCATCAAAGCTTGGGTTGCCAGGCTGTGGCCAAACATTGTAACATTTAATTTTAATATCATTGTATTGAAAGTTTGGATCCAGATGTGGGAGTAGAATAGGCCCCACCCATCTATTTCTTATATCAATGCATGTAATCTCTCCCTTTCCCTTGGCCCTCCCTCTCTTGCCAAATATTTACCGGGAGATTTTCAGATATTTCATCGAATTAGATTCTATCTGACGTAAGGGGCGCCCATGCAGCTGAGGCATCTGGGCTTGAGTTGTCAGGATGTAGCCTGGCACTGCAAATGTTAATTCATTCATTTGTTATTGTTTTTAAAGGTTCCCCCTTCCCCCCCCCCCCCCCCTCCCCCTCTTCACCTCCTTCCCCTCCTTCCCCCTCCTTCTACTAAAGAATATAAGAAAAGGATGATGAAGAAGAAGAAGAAGAAGAAGAAGAAGAAGAAGAAGAAGATGCCCATAATAATTATGCTCGTTTGTCCGCTCTCTTGCCACTTTCCCTCCCTTCCTTTATATTTATATTTAGGTGTCTCTCTCTCTACTTCATTCCATATCTCCTTCGCCGCCCCCTCTCTCTCTCTTTCTCTCTCTCTCTCTCTCTCTCTTCGCTCTCTCTATTCCCTTCTCTTTCTATATGTGTGTGTGTGTGTGTGTGTCTGTCCGTCTCTCTGTCTCTTCCTCTCTCTCCTCTCTCTCTCTCTATATTTCTTTTCTCTCCTTTTCTCTCTCTCTCTCCTCTCTCCTTCTCTTTCCCTCTCTTCTCTTCTCTCTCTCTCCATCTCTCATTCTTTCTTTCTCTCTTTCTCTCTCCCTGTCTCATTTTCCCTGTCTTCCCTTATCCCACCCCTCTTCTCCGTCCCATCATTCCTTCTCTCTTACTTTCTGTATCTCTCTTATTCTTTCTTTTCGTTTTCATCCAGTCACAGGTAAAGACTTCAAATGCAAATTAATACATTTACACACGATATTTTATAATTGAAAAATAGTATTACATATAAAAAATTATTTAGAAATAAGTGTTAAATCTCACAAAATCCTTTCGTACACCCTCAGGACGAGAAAGAAACACTGAAACATTATGCCCTTTTTATTAAGAGGTTGTGTTTTAAGGCACATTGTCATTAAATTCCTATTTCCTAGTATATTACGTAATGGTAATTATAATGTTTTCTGAAACACTTTAAAAAAGTACAACTCGTACAGAGTACATTATAAATACGAAATTCAAATTGTTATTTTTTGACGTTCAGAGGTATACAAACATGTAGTCATTAGACGTCTTTAAAGATGAAGTTGAGTTCTGGTCATGCGATTACATTGTGAAAGAAATGGTGTGGAACCGACCAGAAAAGTTTGATCATAGCATATAAGAATTTGTGTGTATTGCAAGGTTCTGGAATCATCAAAATGATAAGAAATTTGGCCAAGTCTTGGTAAAGTTACAAACACTTGCACAGAAAGATGTATATGGGACTACACGAGCACGTGGCGTAATAAGCCGGCCCCCCCCCCCCCCCGATTTTTACGATGTTACATGTATATTTAGAATATGAAGGCATTTGAAGAGCCATGCTTTTCAGGGAACATGTCTTAACTGATGTTCTTCCACACTTGCATAATAAGAATGAGTAATGCTCACAATTTATTTTTCACCTCTTCCCAGAACTCAACCTTCTCTTTAAAAGGCATATAAACATTTTAATTGCTTAAGTTACTTGAGCTGACATGGCTGAGGAGGAATGATTAACTTCTGTTTTCTTCAAAATATATCTATATATTTCTACTTTTTATATCTCTAAATATGCCTAAATATCCCTTTTTAACAACATATGGGAATGTACTGTATCTAAACAAGGAACTCTTAACATCTCTCAAAATATTTAAAACGAAATAATCCAAGGACATTTCGATATAGTCGAAAACTTGCACGCAATGACTTTCTCAAAATTAACATAAACAATTTCGATGGCCTGGCCGATCGGTCACTTCTTGACATGTCTACGAAAATGGCAATGAACATGATCCCAACTACTTTCGAGAAATCATCTCAAGAGCAAATTCAATACCCTTTTGTACATCCCATTCAATCATGTTCGGATTACGTAATACGTAATGGGGGTGTTTCACAAAGATCCTAAGTTGAACTTAGCTCTAAGTTGGACTTAACAATAATGAAAAGCCGTTAGCATTTTTGAAAATATTTTGTAAAAGATATCTTAAAATGCACACAATGCTGATTCAAATCATTCATATTTTCTCTATCAGGGAGATTTCATTTTCTTGATGTGGAATTTATGAAACGTCTAAAATACTTAAATTTTTGCTTTTGAATATGTTCTATTATATATTCTATTATATTTGAATATATTCTATTATAAGGCTACAAATTAATGACACACGCTTTTAAGACTAAAACAACAACAATAACAACAATAATATTTAAGCCCAACTTAGAGTTAAGTTCGACTTAGGATCTTTGTGAAACACCCCATGGTCATGTTCACACATTCCAATAGGTGACACACAAGGCTATGGAACTTGCCCCAGGTTTTATTTTTCGAAAGCAGTCGTGATCATTTACTGACATTTCATCCGAACATCATTTCTTTATGGGATACACGGTATTGAACTCGCCCTTGTGTTGATTTTGTTTTCGAAAGTCTTTGCGATCATGTTAACGAATGATTATATAAAGTATATCTTTATAGAAATATAATCGGAATGATAATACACATAAAACTCACAAACAGGCAGTGAGAAGTTAATACGAATGAATGATGATAATACTTTGTTCTTTTATAGCGCATTTCATGTCTGACATTTCAATGCGCTTCACAATATACATGTATATAAATGAAATATGACAAGATCATAAAAGGAAGATGAGTAAACAGAAGCATATATGGAAAACAATGAATTTCCTTTTGTAGTTACAGATTAGTTAATTTAATTACTCATTATTCCTAAGTTTCATTTGAGGCGTTCACACTTGTCCAACATTGCTTTTTAGTGGACCCCTCTGTTTCCAACATGTATTTCTTCAAATTGTTTTAAATGCTTATAATTGATTTGTTTGAGCAAAGATACGCGTTGAGCATTTTTCCCCTCTTCCTCTTAGAGAAGTATTTTTTGCGCCATTCCACCTACCTGGCTTCATGTAATTACCGTAACGAGCCAATAATCAATATAATTGGAGAAAATATATCAAATGACTTGATAAAAGACACAGTATCAGACAATTCGCTAATAAATCATCGTATAGTCAAATATGTGTTTTTGGACGTTCTGCAACAATATTAACTAATAGTAAATGATTGGTCTGTTATCCGGTGTCACAGCCATTTTGATGCGAGTTTCAATAATTCTGGAATTTTGGCTCGGTTCTCTTCCCCCATTCTTTTTGGCCCTGTCATTCTCTCTCTCTCTCTCCCCCTCCATTCCTCCATCTTTACTCCCCTCAGGATTACACAACATACAAGTAAAGCACATGGAGACATCGTATTAAGCGTTATATACATACATGTACATGGTTATTCATAATATCTATCTTTCTCTCTATTCTTATCTCTCTGATTCTCTATCCCTCTGTCTTTCTTAATTCTCTCTATCTAGTGTTGTCTGGATTCAGTGCAGGATGGAGAAGCAAGTTCAATTCTGCTGGGAAGTACAGGACGGTGCAGAAACTGAACACCTGCAACTCACGAAGGCACAGCTATACTATATCACTTTGCTTCTTAATATATATTCCCTCAAATGACATAGTTCATCCAATTTCTTCCAAATGTATATCAAATTTAGTTTTTAAAATGTTATCATTTGGAGGTGTCGCGGTTCGTGGTTCATTCACATGGCTCCCAATCCTATGGGCGAAGGTTCGAATCCCATCCCAACATTAACGTCATTTGGCAAGACATGAATCCACATTTGCCACTCTCCACCCGGGTGCATACGTGTTATTGGCAATTACCGCGGTAATAATAATTGTCTGCATTGCCCTTCGGAAGGACAATACAGTCAAACGTGCTTTAGTGACCACCTGTCTACAAAGACCACCTTTCTACAAGGACCACATTTTTTTGTTTCCCTTGAAAATGGTTTTTCATTGAAACATGTACTAAAGGAACCTGTCTAGAAAGACCACTTCTGACTTGTGTTTCCCTTGGGCGGTCGCTGTAGACAGGTTTGACTGCATATCGGTGGTGATGAGACTTACCCTCGCTAAACAAAACGATTATTATTGTTATTACTATTATCATTCACAGTCCATTTTTTCCACGACGCCCACCACGAGATCGTTCATCGTAGCGGCCCGCCATTTTGCCGTCTCCAGGAAATCGTCGTGGTTGATTGCGCCCGCTGCCCCGTAGTCCATGGTCACGATATCCGTGATCAACGACAATCCAAGTGCTCTCATTCCACAATGCCTCGCAGCTAACACTTCCGGTACGGTACTCATTCCTGTGCGATGAATATAGAGCCACATTATTTTATAATATTTTCATTATCATGAATTTTTAAAGTTTGACACTTACCGATTCCTAGTTTACACTCTTTATTGTTCAAAATTTTCATTTAAACCGTCCGTAAAATATATTAGGTTAAAGAAACGCCAATATTCTATCATTATCAGTAGGCAATTTTGTTTTGTATTTATTCATTTATTCATTCATTCACTTAATAATTAAGTGATTCATTTATTTATTTATTTATTTATTTGTTTGTTTATTTATTTATTCATAATAATAATAATAGTCCGTTCTTGTATAGCGCATACAAAATTATAATATAAATATATACAAATATTCATTCATTTATCCATTTCTTCATTCTTTTATTTATTTGTTTCTTTCTTTCTTTATTTCGTTTGCTTACCTACGACATCGCCTCCGAGGGCGCGTAGATACCGAGCTTCCGCCGGAGTCTCGTAGGAGGGTCCCCCGACCATCAGGTAGACGCCCTGCCTGGTGAAGGGTGCGATGCGCTGCTCCTCGGCGACTTTCAGGGTCGAATTCCGCAGCTTCTCGTCGTACACCTTGTTCATGTCGACGAACCTCGACCCGAACCTGTCAATGAGAGTAAGAGAAAAACAGAGAGAGAGAGAGGGTGAGAGAGAGAGAGAGAGAGAGAGATAGAAATAGGGAGATAAAGAGTTAAAGAGAAACGGAGAGAGAGAGAGAGAGAGAGAGAGAGAGGCAGAGAGAGGGAAAGAGGGCGAAAGAGGAGAGAGATGGAGAGGGAGAAATAGAGATAAAGTGAAGCAGAGAGGGAGAGAGGCAGAGAGAGAGAGAGAGTGGGGGGGAAGAGAAAGATGGAGAGAGAGGAGAGGGAGAGAGAGAGAGAGAGAGAGAGAGAGAGAGAGAAAGAGAGAGGGAGGCATGAGAGGGATGAGGAAAAGAGATGTGTAGAGATAAAAGTGGGGAAAGAGAGAGATTTTAGAGAGATGAAGATATGAGAGGGATGGGAAGTAGAGGGTAAGAGAGTGAGGGTAGGAGAGGGATTGGGAAGGAGAGAGAATTAGTGAGAGAGAGAGAGAGAGAGAGAGAGAAGGGGAGACACGTCGTATAGGAGAGACGGGATTAAGGCACAGAGAGATAATGAATGTCAGCTTAAACATTACAGGTAAAGACCAGTTTTGGAAACGCCCCCCTCTCAAAAATGAAATGGAAGCTCTTATTACCAATCATGTGAAAGAATATGTTTTGACTAATACGTGATGGTATAATTTCTGCCGGGAAACCGCCTACTAATTGATATATTTGGTAAATTATCATTATCGACCCGGCCTGGATAGATATCGCGAATGCACTTCAACATTGAACATTTGGGCATAATTATATTTCTGTATTTTTGCGAATCTAGGTTGAAGTATTGCCATCTAAACCTCCGAAGGCAATATTTTAACAATACTGAACGGATATTTTGCACCGCAATTTCACCACTAACCAATGCTCCCCAAAATTATGATATTACATTGTTCCATGCGACATGGAAAACAGATTCCGTTTTTGTCAGCGATAAAATTCAAAAGATGAGAAGTTGAGCCCGATAAGGGACTTGAACCCTTGACCCTCAGATTAAAAGTCTGATGCTCTACCGACTGAGCTAACCGGGCTTTACATACTGTAGTTAACCCAGATGTGTGAATTCAATGTCGTTCGCTGTCGGGATCCACACATGACATACTCGTTCATGAACACATGCCAATAACTTCATTATAATACCAGTGGCGGATCCAGTCTCTAAAATGGAATTCTCCGCAGGAAGTGGAGATTGTGCACACAGTGTGCGCGGGCAAATTATGAATCCAATGACCGGGGTAATAGTATATACAGCGCTTAAAGACATTTGTATTAAGCGCTATATAAAATCGGAATATTATTAATTTCATAGAATACAAAGATATAATATATGATAGAATTGTGCCTTGGAAATCGCATTAAAAAGCAGTGGCTTGCAAGAATACAAATCGATTCCCTTTACAATCATAGTAATGAAAACAGCAAATACAGATTACAAACAATGCACAAACGAAACAAAAATAATTATCGCATTACAAACATTTAAGCTACAGTCCCATATACGTCCCGGACCGTCCCGGACCATCCCGGACCCCATCCGGGGTGATCCGGGATTCGGTCCGTGTTGACACCGTGTTGGCACCGGGGTGGTCCTGGATGGTCCTGGATGGTCCTGGGCGGTCCGGGAGTCGACCCCGGATGTTTTTGACGGTCAAAAACTGCCGGGGTGGTCCGGGACGGTCCGGGACAATAGTTTGATCCGGGGTGATCCGTGTAGCCACCGTGCTGGGTCCGGGGTCATCCGTAGTGGCGCCGGGGCGGTCCGTGTTGATCCGTGGCAGTCCGGGAGTGAGTTATTGACCGCCCAGGACCATCCAGGACCATCCAGGACCACCCCGGTGCCAACACGGTGTCAACACGGACCGAATCCCGGATCACCCCGGATGGAGTCCGGGATGGTCCGGGACGGTCCGGGACGTATATGGGACTGTAAGCCCCAGTCCCATATAAAGCCGGACCAGCACGGACGAGCACGGACCACTCCGGACCAACCCGGACCATGGTCTGGGGTGATCCGGGATGGTCCGGGATGTTTTGTTAAAAAAAAGTGTGATGCTTTTAAGCTACAGTCCCATATGTCCCGGACCGTCCCGGACCATCCCGGACCCCATCCGGGGTGATCCGGGATTCGGTCCGTGTTGACACCGTGTTGGCACCGGGGTGGTCCTGGATGGTCCTGGATGGTCCTGGATGGTCCTGGATGGTCCTGGGCGGTCAATAACTCACTCCCGGACTGCCACGGATCAACACGGACCGCCCCGGCCCCACTACGGATGACCCCGGACCCAGCACGGTGGCTACACGGATCACCCCGGATCAAACTATTGTCCCGGACCGTCCCGGACCACCCCGGCAGTTTTTGACCGTCAAAAACATCCGGGGTCGACTCCCGGACCGCCCAGGACCATCCGGGACCATCCAGGACCATCCAGGACCATCCAGGACCACCCCGGTGCCAACACGGTGTCAACACGGACCGAATCCCGGATCACCCCGGATGGGGTCCGGGATGGTCCGGGACGGTCCGGGACGTATATGGGACTGTAGCTGTAGCTTAAAAGCATCACACTTTTTTTGAACAAAACATCCCGGACCATCCCGGATCACCCCAGACCATGGTCCGGGATGGTCCGGAGTGGTCCGTGCTCGTCCGTGCTGGTCCGGCTGCTTAAACAAGTTCATAAAGAAACATGGAAAGGAAACAAATATTCGTGTACAAATTGGCAGTTTTCGAGTCAAGTTTGCAAATTTCTTTCACACTAGTTCATTTAATAAACTTTTTCTTCCTTCCAACTATTTGAAGGAAAGGAAAATGAGATGAATTGTTGCCAGTTCGAGAAGGGAAAACTGATTACTTTAAAAAGCCTTTAAGGAACCTCTGAACCGCTCTGGGTTAAGGCAGTGGGAGTACACTGAGGCAAAATTCAACGTAATCACCCGATAAGGGACTTGAACCCTTGACCCTCAGATTAAAAGTCTGATGCTCTACCGACTGAGCTAACTGGGCTGCGCATACGATGGCGCATTGATCAAGATCAAGATTTTCATTAATCTGTGGAACGTCAACATTTTGAGGTCCGTAATCTACTAATTTAGTCGAACCCGACTTTGGGTATACCATCACATCATAAGGAAAACATAGATCTCAGAATATAATTCCCTTTGTCCATGGTTAAACATTACTTTGAACAAAAATCTATGCCCAGCGTCGGTGTCAATCAATCAAAGTACTGGTCTTTATGTTTTATTCTATTCCACAGAATGAATTGTATGTGTCATTTTTATCAAATATATCTTCGTTCATAATTGATCTCCAAGTTCCACAATGAGGAGAACATTTCACATCCATTTCAAGACATGAGGTGAAAATGCTCCAAATTTACAAGACGAGGCACTACAAGAAAGCACTAAAAAATGTATAGTCTACGCCCAATAAGGGACTTGAACCCTTGACCCTCAGATTAAAAGTCTGATGCTCTACCGACTGAGATGCAACTTTTAAATGATCGTAAATGTGCGGGTCTTCATATTTACTTTTTCATTTTCATTTTGCACAGCAGATAAAGTATAGATCTACGTTAATTGTAAAAACGTGAAATAAATTGTGTGTGATCTTTTCCGCCTCATAGATAATATCACTTGAGGTTGCCTTATTCTACAATGAAATAAGGAAACAATTTAAAAATAAACAATGGAGAAAAAATGCACAAAAATAAACAAATGCAATAAAACTGTAGGAACAAATAAATATTTAAAAAAAGGTAGACATAGCCCGGTAAGGGACTTGAACCCTTGACCCTCAGATTAAAAGTCTGATGCTCTACCGACTGAGCTAACCGGGCTCACATAATAATGTTAGACAGCTATGCAAAGAAATCACAATGAACCAGTCATTAATGAATGAACGATATGAGTTAACACCCATCTGGCTCCCAACAGAATGGCCCGAATTCACAAAGGAGGTTTGTCGACAAACTTTGGTTTTCGTACGTCATATGACGCGATTTGACGCGTTTTTACAACGTTTGTAAAAACGCGTCAAAACGCGTCTATGACGCATGCAAACCAAGGTTTGTCGACAAACCTCCTTTGTGAATTCGGGCCACGATGTTTGTAATGCCTGAAGTGTCTAGTAAATAAATTTGTATGTTCCCATTGGCACATCGTGTTTCATGGGATTGGAAAATGGTCATTTTTGCGACCGACCCGTTTGAAGCTTTTTGGGGTTGAAATTCCATAATGTTCATATTTTTTGAACTAGACATCATGAAGGAATTAATGAAATAACTTTTTTTCTTCTTTTGGGAATCTAGGCAGAAAATTAACCCATTGGCCCACATTCTACTAAAATTTAAACTGGGATTTAGACCAAATCAGTGACGCAAAATTTTTCTTCGGACTTTATTGAGTCAGAAACATAGGATTGAGTAAAGGTTACAAATAGGGTTTAAGTTTGGGATATGGTTATCTGGTCCAAAGTAGACATCATGAACTCGGTTAGAGTATAACATTTAGCAGTTTCATTTACAGAAGTATAACAAAATAGGCATTGGCCTTCGAAAGATGACCCCAATTTCGTTTTATTCCGCCACAAATATCCAGTCAAAAACTGCATTTGTCATCCGCAAAATATTTTTTTCTCGTGTCAAGGCAAAGTATGAATGTGAACCGACTTTCATTTTATGTCCATGTACACAAATAAATCATAAGAAATCTGTTTGTATTTGAATGCCGTTGCCCCAAGACAGAAGTATGGGATATAGATTATTTAATAAATTGAATAGCTGGTTCCTCTCTTCATACATAGATGATCTCGATTGCGGTTTATATTTCTTTATGATTTTCTTTTGTTTTCAAAGAATCATTGTTTGTGTAAAGGAAAAGAATCATATGAAGGAATGTGGAAGTTCTCATAATACATTTGCGGAAGATGAATCGGCATAACATCTGACTGATGAAAGGATTTCATGACCGGAGGAAAAAAAATGGCCTGGAAATCAAGATTCATGAACCCGGACATGGCAGAGATGCAGAAAAATGATTGAATTTAAATCAAATGAATTTATTCAATAATTCATCATATCAATCAAGCAGGAGGCATGATAAACGTTCCAATTGGTGGTTTTCTATAGAATACTGCACGCGCGGTGCATTTGCTGCTGGGCAATGAAATAAAACAGGAATGCAGTGTTAAAAAATAATGCACAGTCAACCAAGGAGTACACATTAAAATAAGAATCTATGAAACCATCAATAATAATGACCCCAAAAAAGGAAAGAAAACAGAGCCACGCGCTAAGTTTAATAACGATTATGTTGTTCCTGTTTGGGGCACTTTTGGTGTAAGTTGATACGCGTGCGATGCATTCTGATAACCCCCACATCCCCCCCCCCCCCCCCCCCATAACAAAAACCGGGCTTTGTGAGAGTTGTTTTCGTCGTAGATGTGCGGGTCTTCGTGTCTACTTTATATTCTCAATTTGCACAGCAGATATACTACAGATCTAAGTATAAATTGTATATGGTCTTCTCTGTCTCAATAAGACTGGAGGTTGTTTTATTCTGCGATGAAATTAGAACGAGAAAAAAAAAAGCATAATAAATAAATGAATGCAATAAAAATGCAAGAAAAAATAAATATACAATGGGAAGGAATGTAAAAAGGAGCAGATTTGGCCATAGCCCGATAAGGGACTTGAACCCTTGACCCTCAGATTAAAAGTCTGATGCTCTACCGACTGAGCTAACCGGGCTGTATGGATACGAGTGAAGTCGTCAATATGAAAATAATTCTATTATTTTGGGGGACGTTAAAACTCGGAATTTTTAATCTATTTCTCACGATAAATTTGTCAAAGATCTTCGTTTATAATTGATCAAAGTGGTCAATACTAAAAGGAAAATGTTAGATTCATTTCAAGACAAATCATGAGGTTAAATTTGTCAAAGTTTAGAAGAAGGGACAAAAACTAAAATGTAAGGACTACGCCCAAGAAGGGACTTGAACCCTTGACCCTCAGATTAAAAGTCTGATGCTCTACCGACTGAGCTAACCGGGCTGCGTATGAAAAACACATTAACAAAATGATCACTAATGTTGTTCATGTAATTCGGTTTTTCTTCATAGGTTAGGTCCCCGTCTACCTCAGAATTGCAGCTAATGTAATGTATTCAAACATGTTTGTATTGAAACTATTAGTAATTTGTTACCTTTTAAAACGTAGTTAAGGATGATGATAATGATGATTATGACAATAATGATAATGTTAATAATAATAATAATCTAATATTAATGAAGATAATTATCGTATTGATGATATCATTGTATATATTTTCGGCTGTGTTGTATACCCTTGTAATGGCTCACCATCAAATTCTTTAAAAAATTATTACAAAATCTCTATACACACAAATACTGCTTTCTGTATGTGGTGGTAACATCAAGCAGTATGATTATATAAAAAAATAACAAAAACTGGACGTTGAGCCCGATAAGGGACTTGAACCCTTGACCCTCAGATTAAAAGTCTGATGCTCTACCGACTGAGCTAACCGGGCTGCGTGTTATCTCACAGTGATTTAATAAGACGGTGTGCATTCATGATGGGCTGTACGTCATTAACCACCCCCCCCAAAAAAAAAAAACAACAACAACAACAACAACAAACAGTTGTAATTGTCGGCCGATCAAACAGGTTAATATCTAATATATTAATCATTCACCAATTCAAATCAAAACCAATACACAACAGAACAAAAGCTCTCAATGCGCTTTATAGATATATATTATTACCCCGGTCATCGGATTCATGCTTACCCGCACACAAGGTATGCACATTCTCCACTCCCTGGGGAGCATTCCAACCAGTCGCCATTTTACAAGCGCCATTGCTAATCAAACCACATTAGATTTCGCATCCTACCGGGTACCTATTTAACACCTGGGTGGAGAGTGGCAAATGTAGATCAATGTCTTGCCAAAGAAAGGACTTGAACCGCGGACCTTGTGATCCACAGTCCGCTGACATATCCACTCGTCGACGACATCTCTACAATTCGGGATTCATTATCTCTTCCTATTTTAACCAAAAGTACCTGAAGACCTTTCTTTCAACCATTAAGTATTATTTTGTTCTTCTTCTTCTCCTTTTTCTTCTTCTTCTTCTTCTTCTTCTTCTTCTTCTTTCTTCTTCTTCTTCTTCTTCTTCTTCTTCTTCTTCTTCTCCTTCTTCTTCTTCTTCTTCTCGAATCACTACGCCAGAACGTTCACTCCTAATTTGATTGCCCGATCCAGTGTTGGATGCATTGCATCACGCAGGGGTCAGTGCTTTCAGATCTTCTTGGGTGCAAGGGTCTGGTAGATGTGGGCAAGCTAGGAGATGTAAGTCTGCTCCTCTCTACACATGCAGATGGTGACACGTTTCTCACTTTAACCCAACTTCACTATAAATGTTTGTAAAACGCTGTAAAACAGTTACAGTAAGAGCGCTATGTAAAGCCTCGGTCGCAAATGCCATTACGAACTGTTACGAACGCCGTACGAATGATTTTCGGACAATGGAAATTCGGGAAGGCAATGGAAAAACAGGGAGATTCGTACGAACGCATCGTTCGTACGAACCTTTGTGACCGTAGCATAAGTGCTAATATCATATTGGATTGTATTATAACAAAACAAAATTATGATATTATAGCAGAACAAACAAACAAATAAACAGAAATGAACTTACCTTTCATCGTTTTTCCCATCGAGGGGGTTGAATCCCGAGACCGTGGGCATCCCGATGTGGTCCATGATCACCATAATATCACCGACTTTGAAGGCGGGATTGAGAGCTCCGCTTGAACTGGTCACGATCACCGTATCAACCCCCATCAACTTCATCACACGGGCGGGTGAGGCCACCTAGAGAGGGTATATAATTTATAAGTAAATACATATATGAATAAATAAATAAGAAGAAGGAGTACATAAATAGATAAGGCCATTAAAAAATATATACATGTTTAGCGTCCCCGCCCGCTTCTTTTGGGGGGGGGGGGGGGCCGCCTCCTATTTTTTTTTTTTTTTTTCTTTTAAAGAAAAAAAAATGTCGGCGGCCATCTTGAAAAATAGACCGACTGTGAGGGAAAATTTACCGAGCGGCCATTTTGAGCGGCCATTTCAATTTGAGAAAAAAAAAGGGCCTCCTCCTTCCTATTTTTCAAAAAACAGGACGCTGAACATATTTTGTTTTAATTCGGCCTAAATCAACAATGAGTAAGTACACAAATAGACATCAAACAAGTGAAGCGAGCAATGATGTTCAAAGCTTTGGGACGTTAACATGTGCTATGCGCTATACACAAAAACGAAACATTCTTATCATTATTATGAGGTAAATGCATAGACAAATCATAAATAAATACTGATGAGTGAATAGAAATATGTAGCCAGGAATAAATGAGAAACACCATAACCCTATATAATTAGCTGCCCGGCAAATTCAAAACGCCATAAGTTGCAGCACGATGATAATACGATTATCAGACCCCCATCCCGTAAAGGGGGTCCGATAATCGTACTAGTGTTTGTTTTGTTTCACCTAACTGCTAAGAAAGCATGTGTATGCTTGTAAGTAAACAAACAGGCGACCGACGGCTTTAGGTCCTCTCCGAGGGACTTGATAATGAGGATCAATGCCTTACCAAAGGACACTAGCCCATATAATTGGTTTTGAACCCGGGACCTCCCGGTTACGAGACCACTGCTTTATCACTGAGCCATGGCACCTCACACTATTATCGTTTGACTCCTTCTCGAAATCATAATTAGTGATTCTACTTCTGATAATTATGCTATTTCGATAATTTCACGGCAATGATAGATTCTATCAGCTTCTGAAGCTGATTATTAGTTCTAAACGTCCCGTCTTACCTTCCACGGTGGGTACCCCTCGTATAAATGGAATCTCCCTTGCATCATCACCACCTTCTTGCCCTTCA